AAAAATAAATCACCAACTACCCGCCCGCACTAAAAAAATATCCGCCCGACCCGTTTATTTTTATTTATGTATTTTTCACCCTCAAAAGAGCATTTTAGCAGGGACCCGTGGGTACCCGACCCGTTGCAGGACTCTAATTGGGGGGTTGATTCCTGTATGTGTCAGGGTAGGAGCACAGGGGGGAGGGACAAGCAGACGACCATGATTGACGTGTTTTGGAACCAATCGTGTACGGACACAAATCAATGGACCGTCTTTTGTGATTGGTTGAGGTTATTCATTGATTTCTCACTCTAGCGGGGACCATTTATTTTAGTTTCACTTCCAGACCTTCTATTTCACTGCTTGCTAAGCGGCTGTGGGGAGATCTTTAAGCCACATTGTAAAAAATGTGTACGAAAAGATCTACTTTTTTTTTTACATTTCAGATAATTTTAGTGTTAAATACTGAAAAGGTCATCATAGTCAGGGATTTTAACATTCATGCTGATATTGAAGATGATAGCTAAAGCCCGGTGTACACTGTGCAATTATTGGGGTGATTTTCTGGTCGTGCTACAATCTTTTGATCGGGCTGACTTTCAGCCTGATCGTGGGTCGTGAGTCGTGTAGTGTACAGGGGGTAACGAGGTGATCAGCCTCTCACGACCAACCTCCCGATCAGGAATCAAACATGTTTCATTTTCTCCCGACCGTTGTGGGAGAATTGCTCAGTGCGCATGCACAGCAAGGATTCTTCTTTTTATTCTTCCTCTCAGATGTAAACACAGCAGCATGGCAGGGATGCAATGAGTGAAATGCAGTTCTGTCTGTAAAATCGACAGACCATAGTAGCCACGTTTGCTGAGCTATGTCTTTTTTCTAAATACGTTGTCGCCTTTTCTTTTGAGGGCTTTCACAACAAAAATTGCACAAATTGCCAACGCAGCATGGTTCACTGTAGTGAGCTTAATATTCCCCTTCTATTTGTTTGGGTTCAGGATAAAGAGCTACAGAGCAGAACCTTTACTGCTGAGCCGACTCCGACGTGGTTTTTAGTCGTGTGAGCAGGTAGATCGCATCAGAGCATCGGGCCTAACATAAATCGTGAGCTATCAACTTACACTGTACGACTAAACCCTGCGTTAAGTCGTAGTGTGAGCAGCTGCTGCGTGCAATGATTTAAAAGAATCGCACAGTGTACGCCCGGGTTTAAATGCAGCCTTTAATGTTATCTTAAGCAATGTGTCGCAATGAGCTTGACTCAGACATTTTTGATTTATGATCAATATTGAAGCGTGGTCTGTGCTAACACTGTGGGTCTAGATACGGCCAAGGCAATGAGAAAGTGTGCCAAAAAGAGCAGGGATCCAAGTGCAAAAAGGGTGCCAGCATTCTCGCGCACCTCAATCTTCTAGCTGGTCCAACTTCACGAGTTTTTTTCCGCATTTTCAGTTATAAAAACAAAACAAGCCGACCTCCTGTCTGCAGCACTGTCTGCGGTCAGTTACAATTTGTGAGAGGTGCAGCAGAGTGTCTGCGGAGGGGGCGGGGACGGTTTTGTTGTCCACTGCGACACCTAAGCAGATGACCTGGTATCGAAGTATAAAGCCTTTAGACTCGAAAAACATGGAAATCATAAATAATGTATTCAAATATATAAATATGTTAATACTTTGGCTTTTCCATGAAAAAATTGCCCTCACTTTTTAAAGGCATCCTCACACTTAAGCATGTATTTTAGAGATGTCCTGTCCGTTTAAGGGAGGGTTGCAAAGTACCTTGTTTTGTCATGGATTAAAATTAACCTCTTATCTTCCCAAACATACAGTATATCTCCATGAATGGAACTGATTATTTTTTAAAGAAGGATTAATTTACTTTACTGCTTTGAATTGGACCTCAGCTCTCCAATAGAACAGCTCGAATTATGCCCTAAGTCTTCCTTTGCCAGTAGGCAAACTCAGTTGGGGGAGGTCCTCCTCGGTCTTTGTTAAATTTCATTTTATTCCTGTTTGTATATTGGTTTCCTTGTTATAATAAGCTAATGTGATAAGTTTGAAATTTCTAATTTTCACAAATATCATTTACCTGTTCATCACAAGACTATGGGCCAACACTTAGCTAAAAGATAATGGTTTAATATCTAATTTAATTTGGATATGTCCCATAAAAACTGTGTATAATGAAAATATACACATATTCAGTCTATCAGCAATGGCCTGTACACCTCTTTCCCTAGTTTTACTGATGGCAAAGATATTTCCCTTTTTTTCATTTAAATTTCTGAATTCCTGATAGGCTTCTACCAATGAAATATGGTGCGTGTTCATGTTTCATCGTGTTACTTAATGAACTCTTGGCTGCATGGTGTGCTTATGTGCAAGGTAACACTGATCAGTTGAACCTGTTTTGCATTAGTCCCATTATGTTAGCAAGGCATCCTTTTATCGGATTGTGTCGAGGTTTGGAGATGACTGAAATGCTGTGACAGAAGCTGAAGTGGTTTCTTGGAGATTTAATAATCCAAAAGGTGGCAACTGAGGCAAAAATCCAAAAAGAACAAAATATAGAAAAAACAAAAAAACAGGACGTCAGGGAAAAAATTCATAAACAGCAAGGAGCAACGAGAAACCAGCAATTAGAAACTGCACAAGAGGGAAAATGGGAGACTGAACAAGGGCTGGACCAATCAGCAGACGAGGTGCAGGTGTGGTTGGAAGAAGAGCACTAGGGGAAGGAGACTGACAAAAGGGGGCAACAGAGGGTAAACAAGAAATACATAAAAATACAACCAGTAAACAACACAAAATGGAAATGAAACCAATGAAAACTCAAAAAGAAAACTTTAGCAGAACTAAAACCATGATAGTACTCCTCACTTAATGGTGGATACTAAAAGCCCTAAAAAGTCCAACCCCCTCCCAAAAATAACCCACCAGGGTGGGCAGATGGGGAACCAAGGAGGAGGACAAGAAATAATATAACCAGAAAAAAACACAAAATGGAAATAAAACCAACGAAAACTCAGAAAGAAAACTTAAACTGAATCTAAACCATGACTTTTTCGGTGAAAAACAGAAACCCCAGCTTTACATCTTGTTCTTAAGTTGGGCATCCAAGTCTGTCTCTTCTGTGTGTGTTTAATTAAATGTCCCTCTGGGCTTTGTTTATGTCTTTAGAACATTTTTAACTGCAAAACTGAGGTTCTGGTGTCCTGATTCTGCTTTAACTTTTTGAAGTCCACATGTCCTGAATGAGTGACATCTTCACTAGCAATTTCCATATCAATTGATTTTTGTGTGTTGAATCTCTCGGTTCTTTCTTGTGCTGGGGTTTTTTCACATTTTTTTGTTTTTTCTGAAAGACGTTTCCTTCTGTTAAATGAGACTCTTTCTCTCTAATTTTGCAACATGCATGCTCACAGTGAAGGATTGCTGCCAAGTCAATCACAATTTTGAAACACGCTCATACAAGAGGAGTAAATTCTATCAATGGACCAGTGCAGTCAAACAAAACTAATTTAAACTTGTGTTAAACTTGTTGAGCATTTCACAGTGGACTGTTAAGTTAGCATCGGTCGTTTCCTCCGGATAAGGACGATCCTTTCTCTGTCCACTTAGTACACTGTGCATTTCATTTACCTGTCACTTTTCCTCAGTTTCTTGCTTAGATTCTTTCCAAGCTGTTCTGCTTTACCCTCTTAAATATCCTCTTATTTCTATGTGAATAAACTTACCTCAACAGTATTCAACCTTCTTTAATCTAATTGTTGCCT